CCCTTCCACTTTTTTGCCACACACAGACAGGTCCAAGTCTCATTGTAGTCACTATTTGCTACTCATTCTTCTGCTGTATCATCCACAATGATGTTGCTTTCCAACAGCAGTACTGCACCACGTGTCCTGTACAGTGTATTTATGGCACACTTGGAATAATAAACAAGAGCCCTTGTGCTTGTCCCTCTACAAACACTCATTGCCAAAATTGGGTTGTGTCCAGCAAGGACAACAGCCTGTGCAGTTGCTGGAATATGGTTTGCTGACCCCTCATTCTGTTTGCTGCAACAGCCGCTGTCACAGGTTGCAGCACAGGGCCAAAAGCATTTGCTGAGCATGAGGCGAGTGGAGTTTGTGGTTCTGCCCGCTCAGGAGGAGGACACAATGTCCTTTCTGTGCGAGATAGCAGCAGCTGCTGGAGAGACCTTTAGCTCCTGCGAGGAAAGATCCCCCTTCCAGCTGGGGGCAGGGTAAATATCGCAGTGCCCAAGCTTTGCTCTTATTGCAAAGAGGAAGTTCTTCAGTGGAGAGTTTGGGATAGTGCAGGGTAGGGAGAGGAGCGGAGGAGGCAGCTGGTAAGGGAAGCCTGGACAAAGTCCAAGGGCAGAGCTGGTGAGGCTCTCCTCACGTTTTGTACGTGTAGGTACCTTGCAGTGTATATACAAGAGGAGGATGGGCTGCATGGGATTTGGGAGACCTCTGAAATAATCTGTATGTTGCCCCCCTCTTCCCCCTTTTTTTTTTTTCAATTTGAAAATCACATTTTCATGCAACCTCCCAGAAACCTACCTGAACAGCTATCCTGGATGAGGAGGATTTTAAGTCAAATAGCGCTTCTCACTTCTAATCTTTCTAGATCCCATTTTGACTTGGCGTTGAGGCTAAGCAAGAAATATTCTTAGATATTCTTATTCCTGTGGCTACTGAGAAAGGATTCAGAATGAAATAATTTGTCTTGATGGCAGATTTCCTGTTGTGCTGCCACTGTAAAGCTGCATGACTAAGTTATATTTTAATATCACTGACTTCTGTCTCTGGTAGTTATGCTTTTGCTCTGTATTATATGTTGCAGTGTGCAGATACACCTCTAATATGTAAAACATGTATTTTCTACAAAAAGCAATAAAAGAATATTATCTCTTGTAAATGAATTATCACTAATGAACTAGTATTTATGCCTTTAAAACTTGAAACAAAAGGCATTTGCTGTGTCTCATTTTTCAGGCTTGTCCCTGTCTGTCACACAGGGTCTGTAACTGTCAAAACTGCAAAATCATTTTTTGCCACCATCAACACCCTTTTTATTTTTTTAAATAGTTTTTATTTGTTTTTAAGGCTTCAGGCCTAAGAAGGCATTTTGTTCACAACAGCAGAAATTGCTGAGACCCCTTTGTGCCTCTGTCTTGCAGAGCAAAGGGCATTTCAAATTAAAGCTTTTCAGCCTGACCTGGAGGCAAAGATTCCTTTGCCTTCTTCCCCAGCAGAGCTCTAAATCAGACTCGAGGTGGGTCCTGAGAGTTAAAAATGCAATAATTATCCTCCCTATTCATGGTTTAGACTTTATCACAACATTATTCTCTTTTTAGTCTAAGCTCTTTTAAACACCTTCAGATCATTTATCCAGCTGCATTCATGTCCTTACCATGTCCAATATAATGCATACCTTATCATCTCGTGGTTCACATTGAAAGCTAATTCTTTTATCTTTCCAACTAATCTCCTGGCATTACTGTGAAGATAAGTCCCTAATCTTCCTTTCCCTGCTTTTCTGAAGTGACTGTTTTCCTTGACATGTTGTTCACTGTTATTACAGGTACTCTACTTCTCTAGATCTTGCTAGGCAGTTTTTGCATTCTTGACTATTGTTGCAACTTGCAAGTAGCAGGTTGTACCATAACGTTTTCATTAGCCCTCTTCTCTTTGCCGGTCAATATCCTGTAGTTTATGGTTGCACTCCGAAATGTGGGAAGGTGAACAAATTTCAGGAAAAGGGGATAAGGAAGACTTTTCAGCAGCATGTGCTTAGAAAGTCTATTAGAAAATCCATATAAACCAGAAAGCCATGTGCCCAGCTTAACCTCTCAGCAGATTTGTGACCACTGTGTTGCACTTTAGTGTTTGAAATGTCTCAGTTCTAGTTAGAACACTGCAATCTCCTGAGCAGACGTATGAGGATAAAATAGCAAACAGAATAGCAAATAAAGTTAATAAAGTCTCATAAAGGAAAGGGTGTAAAACAGGAGATGCATGAGCAGAAATGCACCAGGGAACGTAGTGGTGTAGAGGGAATTGAGAGGAACATCAGTAAAGACAGCACCTATCTCTATGTGTGTGTTGTGCAGGTGGAGTTCGGGGATCCCTCCCCAAAAATTTGTAGTTGCCAGCATGAAATTAGAAATTACCCCGGGCTTGCATCACAGTGTGTCTTCTAAACAGGGCAGGGTGGCTTTCTCAGTCTCTGTTTTGTACTTCTGCTTCAATCACAATCTTAATCTCCCTTTTCTGCCTGCTAATTTTTATTCTGCTGTTTGCTTCTGTGTTTCATAATGCCTTTTGCAAATGACCTTACAGCTAGTCTGTTTTCCTGTAATTTTAAATTTCCACAGACATAACCAACCCGTACCTTAGTCGGATGTCTAGAATGCTGCTAGCGACTGCAGCTGAAATCAGAGGTGCAAAATCTCCATAGCCCAGAGGAATAGTGTTTCTATCTCCATCGACAGCCTTTCTGCAAGCTTCGTGCCTTTCAGCTGAGCTGGCTTTTGCTCCCTTACTGATGCACGTTCTCCGTGTTTGTTAGCACATAAATTATATTACAAGTATTTTTGTCAAAAACTTCAGAAGAAACACATGCTATTCAACCAGAAGCCTGGGATTCTTGCTGTTTATTTTATAGAGTAGATGCCCTTAGAACTGTATTATCTTTTAAAAACGAAGAAGACCTTTATAAAGTCTTTCTGAGAAATAATTTTCTCAGCAAAATGAAAGTACAGCTTCTACGCAATTAATAATCTTAGCTCTTATAAACCTGGTCCACTCATGGGAATTTCCTTTTGTCTCCTTCATTAAGTAATAGATTTAAGTGTGTGAAATTGTACCAGGTACGCAGCTGTACTTAGCCTGTGCAGCTGCTCTTCGGTTAAGGAAGTGGTCGTTCCTTTTTCATGTCCCTTCCCTGTTTCTTCTTGCACTTGCTCTCTGTCACTGTTTTAAGCTCTCAGTTTTTCTCTTTTCTGCAATATATCTTTGTTCCTGGTTTTGCTGGTTCCAGCATAAGAAGCAGGAGGAGCTAATTTCGTGGTAGTTGCTGGCTGAGCGTGGAGGTCCCTATTCAACAGATATATGTGGCAAGCTTAGGGTTTTTTTAAGATAAACTTCGTAAAATGGAATGAACGTAGGTTTTCAGTGGATCATTTTGATGTTCCAGTGTGAGATTTTCTTCATCAAGTTGTTGTCAGAGCAGGTAGATTTGAAAGCTTCCTTAGTGACTCTCTATAAGAAAGCCTAATATGCCATTTTTTAAAAAATAACCAGATTCAGAGGAATGTTGTAATGATGTAAAATTTATCTGGAAACAACTTATTTTAAGCTGAGTGCTAGTTCAGTAGTAACCAAATAGCATTTAGAATTGCTTGCCAGGATTTGCAAGTTGAGTATAAAGTGGTTTACATGTTTTCCCCTCTTCTTTGTGTATTTTTTTTTATACCTGTTAAAAATGCTGTCTAGCTTAGACATTAATTTGAGAATAACTATTCACAAAGTAACTCCTCACAAATATATCTTCTTGTCCTTTGGTTGCTCGTCTGAACAGAGGCAAAGTGTATCCAGGCCATTCGCACAGAGGTCGGCTTCCAAAATCTCATGGTGTTGGAGCACCATCTACAGGGCTTACTGCAAATTAAAGCATTTTCAGCAAATAGTTAATGAATATTCCAGTAAAACACTGTCTTGATGTGTTTTGAAATTGGTTCTTATTTCTTCCCAAAAAGTTTGAGCAGTTCCTAAATTCTACATCAAAGTATCTTAATGCTTAACTCTACATAAATTAAGATCTAATACGTCTTAGTTGGTACAACTGAGTAGAATCAGACCTATAAATAAAAGCTTTCTAGTTTGTTATTGGAAATGCATTGCACAAACCTCTCCTGGAGACCTAACTTTTAATATTTATAAATGAGATGTGCAGCAATAAGTGCACTTTTTCTTTTGTAATCATGTAAATGAAGATGATTTCTGTGCCAAGGGCTGGAAGGGACCATTTAAATGATAGCCAGGTGCTGGGTCTTCATGAGAAAGTAAATTTTGACTACTTAATTATTTTGTTTTAATTTATTTTTCATGTTCATAATGCATTTGTGAGTATAATGTGTAAATGCATAGTTGAATGCCTGTGAAGACTAGAAGTAGGAAATGTAAAATATTTCACTTTAATAAAGATGTCAAAGTCTGCAGACATTAATCTTTCAGTCTGTAGTACTAACTGACAGTAGTATAAACATCTGCACTGGCAACATTCAGAAATCCTTATGAGCTTCTTTGTGAGCAACTCTAGACACAGTTTTTATTATACCTTAGCTAACTCACTGTGATATTTTCCTGATAAGTTGTGATTTGACTTTGTCCTACTCGCTTTAAAAAAAAAATCTGATTAGTAACATTTCTTTCATCGTTGCTATTACATTTTTAGCCTGTGGAGATTTTCCAGAACAAATTAGATCACCGAGTGGGACAATCACGAGTCCAGGGTGGCCCTCGGAATATCCCGCACGAATCAACTGCAGCTGGTACATCCATGCAAACCCCGGGGAGATCATAACTATAAGGTAACGTTGGTCCTGTGTCAACAACGGAGATTGACAAAGCACTGACTGCACCTTTTGTGACTGCCAGTTGTGCATGCACTGATTTCCTCTGCCTGCCTGTAAATGTAGACCTGTTTTGATTAAAATGGCATCCCTTTCCAGTAGGTAGTTTGGAAGCAAGAAGTGTTCCTGAAGAATAGGAAAGCTGGGACAGGTATAGGCAGTTACATAAATTTAGAACCAACTAATGAGAAAGTGGCTCTGCATCAGCTTCTAATTTTTTGGACGTTATAAACAGAATAAATAGGTAATCTGTGTGATTTATGTTGTGACGGTGCCAGTATTAAATGATACATTTTAAAGGGGAAGATGATAATTTTCTTGCTAAGGTAAAGACTTTTGCAGAGGATATAGATAATATATATGACTTTAGCTGCAAATTTACTTCACTTTCCAGTACAGACCTGCTGGTCTAAGGGGAATCACAGACTCGGGATCACAGAATGATTAAGGTTGGAAGGGACTTCTGTAGATTACCTAGTCCAACCCCCTTCACAAGCAAGGTCACCCAAGGGCACAACACACAGGATAGTGTCCAGGCGGGTTTTGAATATCTCCAGGGAAGGAGAATCTACAGCTGCTCTAGGCAACCTGTTCCAGTGCTTTCTCACCCTCACCATCAAGCTTTTCCTCAAATTCAGGCAGAACTTCCCTTTTTTTAAGTTTGTGGCCATTGCCGGCCACCACTGAAAACAGTCTAGTCCCATTCTCTGGACACCTTCCCTTAGGGTATTTGTACCCCATGATAAATCACGTCAGCCTTTTCTTCTTTAGACTCACCAGGGCCAGCTTTCTCAGCCTGTCTTCATGAGAGGTGCTTTAGTCCCTTATTCAGCATTATAGCCCTCCACTGGAGTCCCTCCAGTAGCTCCATGCCCCTCTTGTGCTGGAGAGCCCAGAACTGGACACACTACTCCAGCTGGAGCCACATTTCTCAATCCACCCTCTGCCCACTCTGGTGTATATGTCTAGTGCATAGTTCACACTTTGTTTCTGGCTTGTGCTGACCTGTTTTTGCCCAGGCAGTTTATACTGCTTTAACATGGAAGTCCATCTTCATGTAATTGTGATTAAAGCTTGGGTGATATCTTCCATGACATACCCACCAGGTTCTTGAGTAGTGCAAGTGAGAGCAAATCTCCTCTGAAATCGTGTTTTTGGACATTTTAGGTGTCCTTAGGATGTCAAGTCAGATCGCTGGCCAAAAGCAGCATTAGCTAAGAGTCTTGGGAGAATTGGTTAAATAAAACCACTTAGTGTATATAAAATTATTAAATGAATAATTTAATGACCAGAATTACTCAAAAATTTGCTTCAACATGAACACACTTTTTTTTGGTAGCAAAACTGGACTACTTAAGTAGCAGGTACAGTATCTTGGATGACCAAACTTTTAGTGTCCTCATAATTCACCCTCGATGGAGAAGCCATTATTTTGTTTCATGCTCGAGGAGTACTTTCATCTAATTTCCATTTCAACGTGTACTGATTCATTAGTTTGGTTGTGTAGTGCCCATTTTAATATCAATTTTGACTGTTGTTTTCCAGCTTTCAAGATTTTGATGTTCAGGGGTCACGGAGATGCAGCTCAGATTGGCTGACGATTGGAAGCTACAAGAATACTGAAGGCTACAGAGCGTGTGGTTCCTCTATTCCCTCACCGTACATCTCTTCACAGGATCATGTTTGGATCAGGTTTCACTCAGATGATAGCATCTCTCGAAAAGGCTTCAGATTAGCCTACTTTGCTGGTATGTTGCAAATAATAATGGGTACAACTTTATGGCTTAGTTTTACATTTTTAAGCATTACTTCCTTTGCATCAGGGTTCAGCACACACTTCATGTAGTCAACTCAGGATTTATATAGGAGAAAATGTTTATTGCGGGACCTCTTTTATTAAACATACCATCTCAAAAAGGTTTGCATTCTTAAAAAAAATGTAGTAAGACGATAGATTAGCTAAGCATAGGCTCATTTTGGACATAGAAAAATTCTATTTGGATAGTTCAAATATGCAGTGCAAGCTAGTTATCAGTAGTAATATTTTACATCTGCTTTGTGGGCAGTTTTTGTTCTATTTGGACTCCAATAGCTACTGCAGCAGCTCTCCAGGGACAGGAGAAAGTCACTCTTGGGTAAAGAGTGGTTCCAAGCTGTTTTCTGCTTTTCAGAGGTATTAGAATTGCATATAATAATTTGATAAGTCCTGATCATCAGAAATGCTGGATTAGATTCTTCATTGTTTTTGTAATAGTTTCAATACACTTGCTCCCTCCCAGTATATGTCTATCCTGTGTTCTCTGACCTGCTCCAAATCTTTGCCATGCAATTTTTCAGTTTTCTTGTATGTACAAGGTACATTCGGTTATTCCCTTTGATATTCCCCATGATATCCCACCTATCCATTGCCACCATTGTCCAAAGTTACCGTACAGAGCTTCAAAAAAACTTGCCCTAATGTCAGGACCATATTTGCCTGCACTGCATTCTGCTCTCTGTTCTCCTACAAAAGAGCTTTGACAACAACAGTTGCTGCCAGGAAGGTGTTTCCTTTCTATCTGTTTTTCCAAGCCTGCCCAAAAGCTCCCTCTGCACTTGAAGTTTACCATACCTCATGGGAGGCAATGCAGCCCTGTCTTTGCTGGCTCAGCTTTCCAGGAGATGCTCCTCCAGGATTTTGCTTACTATTGGACCAAAGGAAATGGATGGAAAAAAAAACTTCTATCTAATCAGTCGCCCCTATCTGATCAGTCACCCCCAGCAGCTGCTTTTGCCCTGCTCATCTCCACGTCCCTATAGGCATGGAGGAAAGGCAGCCTACGTGAGCAGCTTCCAGGACGACTGAGGGCAAGGATAGGGAATGGGCAGGGAAGAGGAAGCCACGACTTAATAGAGAATTTCTAGAAATCCTTTCCTCCCTTTCCTTCAAATCTTAAAACAACTTCATTATATATCTCCTTTTGGAAGCAGATATAACATTTTCAACAATAAGAATTTTTTTCCTGTGTTATTTGATTTCTACACATTGATGTTAGGCACTACTAATTATTAGTCTGTTAAGATATTAAAAAAACTATTTAAGCCAGTGTTTTTAAGGCTACTACTTAATATTTAAATTATGTTTTTAAAAACAACTTTAGTAAAACTTTGACTTGAGGTTAATTCCTATGCTTAATATGATACTTGGGAAATTCATCAAGTCTGAGGCAATAATGTAGTGTTTCCATGATCATAATAGTCCTCTAATGTTGTAGAGGGCACTGTATATAGGAGAAAAGCTGAAAAATCCGCTCTAATAATTTTCTGGTTGTGCGTGCTCTCCTATATAAAAAGGGAACTTCTCAAATATTAACAACACTTCTGCAATACGTGCAACTATACCAATGTTTTATTTTGTATACTATGAATCAGTGCTCTTAGGATGAGTCTTCAGTGTCTGTATTACATTTAACTTCTTAATAAATACCAAAAAAAAAATTAACTAAAAATTAAAAATTGTCTTTCATCACTTCCCTATTTAACTTCTTAATAAATACCAAAAAAATAAATAAAAATTAGCTAAAAATTAAAAATTGCCATTTGAAAGGATAGGCTTGTATGTGAAAGCTGCAGGTTTACATCCTTGTGTTTACAGTTGTCATAGTTAGGCAATTGCAACAGTTTGTATATGTTACTGACAACACTCTGTTTTTTAACTTGAGTGATGCCTCAATACCTATAAGTGTAGGTGGTGATACTAATGACAGTGACAGCAGTGACATGACATAAAATTTTCTCTGTGGTAAGCTGACTAATCAGGAAACATAGAATAAAAGAAACCAAAAGCCAAAGCTGGGATAGTGAGTTCTTGTGTCAAGAAGCATATGCTAAATATCTTAGAAAAGCTTTTTTTTTTTAAACAAGAGGCCATATGATTTCTTTCACTTCTTGTTTAAAATAACTAATATCTTCCAGAAAAATACCACATTTCATTAAAAACAAACAAACAAAAATGCTCCAGTTAGGAGGGTTCTACTGGTCTTTGGTGATTTGTTCCAGTGACAAATCAGTGTTGAGTTTTGGTCGTTATTTTAAAGTAGAAATCACATGTATTTAACATAACTTTTGATGGTCTTTTGGACCTTGATCATTCTTTACCATTTAGAATGAAAAGCTTTCTGTTATCACATTTTTGTTTTGTTTAGTTATTTAGACATTTTAATCAGCTCTCTCAGTGATCTAAGGAGAGCCATCTTTTGATGTCATCGAGACTTGTTTCAGTAAATTCACCATTTGGCATCAAGACTAGACTAGGAGGGATTTTTTTTCCACCACCTTCCTTAATTTAGAAGGATCTTTAATTATGGGTACCAAAATAGGACAGAGTGTAACTATCGTGGCTGATGGAAAGGTGGAAAACAGAGATAAAAGTAGAGCAGGTATGTGCATGGGGTGTTTGGGTTAGTCCTTTGGCTATAACTGCACCTGGGTTCTGCCAATTAACTTGCGTTATGCTGAAGTTCTTGACAGGCACTGTGTTCAAGAATGGTTTTATTTGTGCATTTATTGTTCTCAAATTGCTTCGACTTTGTATCAGCTTAGTCAAGGCATGAGCTAATAGCTTGTAACCTATTCATTTGAAAGTCAAAGTTCATGACAGTGTTCTCTTCTCTCATTATTTTACCACTTAATATCAAGTGTAAGTTTTATCGATGTAATGACTCAGGGTCGTGGGTTTAAAAATGCTAAATCGGAGTCAAGTAGGCAGCTCTTTTCTGAGAAAACAGAAACAAGAACTTAGGTTGAAATTATACCTTGTCTCATTACTGCAATATTTTCTTAAACTTAATCACTGACGACATATGCTTTTGTTTTTGTTCTATCTTCACCCCCTGTTAGTAAATTTGTTGACATCAGTGGTGCTCATAGTGTTTGTCACTTTTATTTTTCCTTTATTCCTTTTTTTTAGAAAGTGTTAACACTTTGACTGGTTAACTTCTGGGGACCTGTTTTGGTCTGTGCTAAAGTAAATAGGACCTGCTTCCTTGGGAGGCTCTTTGAGCCAATGCTGCCTCTAGCATTTCTTTATTAAACTCCAGAATGCAGTGTTACTTTAGTCTTAGTGTGCCTTTGTCCAACTTCTTGGCTCTCTGCTATGGAAGACTATTTGCATTATAGTGTCATTTTAGCCAAATGTATGATTTATGCCATGCTTTTTAGAAACTGCAGTGCCTTGAAATGGTACAGATATATTTGATATGGCTACAGAGCTGAAAGGGGCTGTTCCCGAGGTGCTTCCGTGTTTAACACGCCTGGAGCTTTAATAAATGAATTGCTGAAGAAAATATTTTTGAGGCTGGAAGCGTGGTAGTAGCCAGTAAGACACATTTTCCTCAATGCTGGTATCTTCTGGTGTTTTTCAGAATCTAAAAACCTTTGACCACTACTTGTATCCTTAATTTATTAAAATGCACATATGCCTAAACACAAACTTGTACTTCTCTTTTTCGCTGCACTCTGCTGTCTTAATTGCTCAAGGAGCAAGCGATGGGAAAAGGGGGAGAGAGTGGTTGCTCTCTTAAGGTGAGGTGAAGGATAATCTTACCTGTCAGCTTTTCACACTTGCTTCCCTTTGTACAAACCTAAGAAAACAGCACAGCAATAGGACAGCTTTTATATGAAAGAGTTTGATCAGGTAATTTGTATTTTCAGTGGGAAGGGTGAGAAACAATATTTTTCTGGCTTAAGTTTAGCACCTTAGAAACAAGACTTTTCAGCTGCTATAAATGAGCATGGTTTTCTTGACTAGTTATTTGACTCGAAGCAGCTAAGAGCGAAGGATCATGCTGATGTGTTGACAGCGTCTAGATTGGAAAATGCTGTCTTGTCGAAAGTTGTGCTGATTTACAGAGACGTTAAAAAGTTCCTTGTTTTGCTGTTCCGAGCCACCTGGTGCTGCAAATACACATGCAACACGAACCCCGGAGTACTACATTCTATAAGGAGAATATTTTATAATTTCCTTTTTTTTGTTTTTCCAGGAAAATCGGATGAACCCAATTGTGATTGTGACCAGTTTCATTGCGCTAATGGGAAGTGTATTCCAGAAAGCTGGAAATGTAATAATATGGATGAATGTGGAGACAATTCAGATGAAGAAATCTGTGCCAAAGCGAATCCTCCAACAGCTTCTTCCTTTCAACCTTGTGCTTACAACCAGTTCCAGTGTCTGTCTCGCCTCACCAAGCTTTACACTTGCCTTCCAGAATCTTTAAAATGTGATGGCAACATCGATTGTCTTGACCTGGGAGATGAAATAGACTGCAGCGTGCCAACCTGTGGGCAGTTGTTAAAATACTTCTACGGTACTTTCAGTTCTCCCAATTATCCTGACTTTTATCCACCCGGAAGCAACTGCACGTGGCTAATAGACACTGGCGACCATCGCAAAGTAATTTTGCGATTTACTGATTTTAAACTCGATGGTACTGGTTATGGAGACTATGTCAAAATCTACGATGGGTTAGAGGAGAATCCGCGGAGGCTTCTACGTGTGCTGACAGCGTTTGACTCTCACGCTCCCCTCACGGTTGTTTCATCCTCGGGACAGATAAGAGTGCATTTCTGTGCTGACAAAGTGAACGCCGCGAGGGGATTCAACGCCACCTATCAAGTCGATGGCTTTTGTTTGCCCTGGGAAATCCCGTGTGGTGGGAACTGGGGTTGCTACACAGAGCAGCAGCGCTGCGACGGCTACTGGCACTGTCCGAACGGGAGGGATGAAGCCAACTGCACCATGTGCCAAAGGGACGAGTTTCCCTGTTCTCGAAATGGTGTTTGCTACCCTCGCTCAGACCGCTGCAACTACCAGAACCACTGCCCAAACGGCTCCGACGAAAAGAATTGTTTCTTCTGCCAGCCGGGAAATTTTCACTGTAAAAACAACCGCTGTGTGTTTGAGAGCTGGGTTTGTGATTCCCAAGATGACTGTGGCGATGGCAGCGACGAGGAGAATTGCCCGGTCATTGTGCCCACTAGAGTCATAACTGCGGCTGTCATAGGGAGCCTCATTTGTGGATTGCTGCTTGTCATTGCCCTGGGATGTACCTGCAAGTTGTACTCGCTCCGCATGTTTGAGCGAAGGTAAGGGCAACAGATACCCTGCAGCACTTAAACCTTAAAATACTTCCATTTATTTTGTTATTAGAGTTCTCTTTTGTATTAAAGCATTCTAACTGACATGTAATTATTGCTTCTACTGACATAGAATTATTATTTCTAAAAGTGTGGTTCCTTCTTTCTCCTTGGCAGTAAAAAGAGGGTAGATAAAGGGGTTAGAGTTATTCACTTTTCTGTGGACAGTTGAGATGTGGTTGCTGAACAGCAGGTGTGGGGATGCCTCGTTTCTGCAGGTGAATGAATACATTTAAGAATATTCCCTCTGTGGTGGACTATCTCATGTCATGTCAGCATTACTTTTCTTTTTTTAAAAACAAATATGGTGCCTTATGCATTTAGTCCGTGATTTTTTGGCAGGTATTCTTGGTTCCTTTCTGTTCTTTTCTCTTCTGGACAGACCTTTACGAACGACTACAAGAAGTTGTTAATATTTTTATTGTTTATTTTTTTAGTAAGATTCTATCTGCTCAAGTTTCTTATTTCAGATCGTAAGTCTGATGTAGTTTTACTCTTAAATATGAGTACATATTACCGACTTGGAAAATTTCTTTTCTCTTTAAAAGATCATTTGAAACCCATTTGTCGAGAGTTGAGGCTGAACTGTTAAGAAGAGAAGCTCCCCCATCTTATGGACAGTTAATTGCCCAGGGTTTAATACCACCAGTTGAAGATTTTCCTGTTTGTTCACCAAACCAGGTAAGATTTCAAAATTGCGGGCAGACATTAAATTTTAAGAAAGTTGAAATAAAAACATTTTACCTTCCGTCTGACCCATTTGGTTTTGGAGCATTCCCTTTTCTTCGTTTCACATGAATACTTAAACTAAGATTAGCTTAAACTTGAACTAAGGTTGGCTACTAGACAGGATCACTGTACTGGGGTAGCATCACAGCTTACTTTGGGGCTTTATTTTCATAGTAGTGGATGCCAGTATTGCATGAAAAATAGATTGGCAGATCTAGTTTTAGGTTCTTTGATATTGCTGGATAAGCTCTTAAGAGTGCAGAAAAGCACTTAATCTTAGAAGTAAGAATTCAGAATTCTGTTGCATGCAGTAGTTCAGCCACTGCGCGTGCATTTTCAGGTGTGATCTTGCCCACTATGTTTAGAAAAGGATACAAGGCTGTAATATATGGTATTAATTACTATAGGAGGTGACAGCATATCTATCCTTTTTGTTTTTCGTAGCAATCGATAGCACAATTTTTGTTTGGTTGACGAATAAACTTCTATCAGAGCTATTTTTTCATTTAAAAACAAATAAATAAATCATCTTTCAATTAAAGCAGTTGTTTGTGAGCTAGAACAGCACATTCTGGGAATCCCACCATGGTGCAATACCACAGCTGGTTTTGTGTGGTATGTGGCAGCTGATGTAGCAAAGCTTACTATTACTTAATAATGCAGAAAAAATATATATATTTTAAAAAACTTGTGGCAAGACCATAGGGAGGGAAATTGATTTTTATTTTCAACAGAATTGATTTAATTGTGCTTACTCTATGGTAGATGGAATATGCTCATTCTTTCATGCTCACATGCTTACAAGCAGCAGGGTCTGTGGGTCCAAGTAGTCTTGCAAGTGTTATTGGGGATGGAGAGCTCAAGCACCATCAGTTCTTATGTCCTCGGGACATCTCTGATGCTCCCTTGCTTGGAGCCAGGTGCTGTTTTATGTGTCTGATACAGCCTTTGAATTGAGAATAATTGTGATCTTTTTGCTGCCTCCTCTGTCTCACCATGAGTCCTTGGGCTGTGTTGCTAATTCGTTCCTTGTCCTTTTTTACTCCTGTTGTGATTATAACCTGTCCTTTTTACAATCTGTTCTTTAGTCAGCTCTTTTTGTTAACTAGATGCCTCAAGAATCTGCATGTAGCTCATACTGATCTCCTGCTGATGAAGTAAAAGTTAATATTTAGCAACTAATACTTAGACTTTTGTACCTAGGCAAAACCCAGCCAATCTCAAAGGCCTTTGTTCAAGCTTCCACTAACTACTGATCCTGAAATCTTTTAATATTTGATTAACTGTTTTTCTCCTTATGTTAATGAACTTGAATGCCTTGACTAAGTTAAGAGGGGCTCTTGTCTTGGATGTTGTAGTGTGCCTCTAAGCACAGAGGTAAAGCTTCTGAGGCCAACTTACCACTGATCTAAGCCAGGTGTAATGTAAACGTGAGGTAATTTTACACAAAACTAGACATTACTTTTCAAACACAGAGTAGTAAGCAAAGCTGAACATGCAGCTTTGCTAGTGGCAAGTAGATGTAGGCTCACAGACTGTAAATACAACTTTGTGGAAAAACATATCTGATGCCTTTTCTCTTGGAGAAGGGAACCAATAGCTCTACTCTGGAAGTGAGGTTTATATTTAAGGACAGTTCGACTATAACCAAGCTTCTCATTGCATAAGTCAGCGTGGTTATGCAAAATCACAGTATGTTTTTGTTCAGGGGCACTTTGGTGCTTTTACAGATTTGTCTTCCTGTCCTCTTTCCAAAATTAAACTAAAGCATTTTGTGACATAGATATGTTATAGCTGTTCAAGATGGGTAACATGAACCTGGTTGAATATGTTCCATTCACTGAAAAGATGCGAACGTGGATTCTTCTGAAAATAAAAACATTTACTGATGTGCTTGATTACAGAATTGCCAGGCAGCCGACAGATCTCGGTTACCATAATGTTTCTGAGAAATGGGCCACTTAGCTGAGGTTCTCTTCACTAAATTTGAATAAAGGAAGCCCAAATCAAAGTGTTAATATGATGCTGTGACCTTACAGTTTAAAAGAAATACAAGGTTTTCACCAGAAAAAAACAGACTTGCATTGTTTCTTAACTGACTCTCTAGGAAATTTATATCAAATTTGGGAAATGCATGGTTTAGAACTTACAAGATAATTTTGATTAAACAGAAGCACTAGTATCTGCCCTTACTATCTGAAACTGGTGTCAACTGATTATGCCAGTGTGGAAACAAGTCAAACATTCTGGTCCTTTTAGTAGAGAGAGGATACTTAATTTTATCTCTGTTCCAGGCAGTCCTACAACAGTGAATAGGAAAAGGTCACCTCTGTTTATATCTTCAGGAGTTCCAGGAAATTTTCAAATCCTAAACTTTTTATGGCACATTATGCTATAAAATCCACAGTGACTTTTTCTTTCTGGTAGAACTGTGTGTTAGCTGATCTTGTGTATCTCATATCTGCTATACCAGAGCTTCTGTGCTAGGCCTGTGATCAGCGCACCCTGCGTCTGTGTCCATTCTGCCCACCTCCACAGAGGCCTTGGCTCAGGCAGGAATGGGTCTCCTCTGCTTGTCTTGTTTCCTCTTTTCTTCTCCGTAAATCTTCCAGTTTATTTTCCCTTTTTTTTTTTCATTTTTGTGTGTGTGTGTGTGTGTGTCAGAGTCTAGGCTTCTTTTATGTCTGCCTTATGTATAAAGTAGTCTTTTGCTATATGGACTAGATGACCTCCAGAGGTCCCTTCCAACCTTAAGCATTCTATGATTTACCAGATCCTTAACATTACAGATTGGACATTTTCTAATATTTAATAATCTAAACTTAGATTTTTATGTGTTTATGCACATTAGTTGTTATTTTCCTAGTGTAAGAATGATGCCAACATGCTGTCAATGCTTGACTTTTGTTTATCTTCTTGTTCAGGCTTCAGTTCTGGAAAACCTGAGACTTGCAGTGCGATCTCAGCTTGGATTTACCTCAATCAGACTTCCCATTGCTGGCAGATCAAGTAACATTTGGAATCGCATTTTTAACTTCGCAAGGTCACGTCATTCTGGATCACTGGCCTTGGTCTCGTCAGATGGAGATGATGTTGCTGGCCAAAGTAGCGGCAGAGAAGCTGAAAGAAATAATACTCACAGAAGCCTATTTTCAGTTGAATCCGATGACACGGACACAGAAAACGAAAGAAGAGACACAGCGGGAGCAGTTGGTGGAGTCGCCGCCTCTTTGCCTCAGAAAGTGCCCCCTGCGTCCGCAATAGAAGCGCCGGTGGGAGCGTGCGGGAGCTCCTCGGCGCCGAGCGGCGGCGCGGAGAACGGCAGAGAAGCGCCCGGCGCGGAGCCGCCGAGCGCCAGCCCGGCCCGGCACCAGCTCAGCAGCGCGCTCAGTCGCATGACTCAAGGCCTGCGCTGGGTGCGCTTCACCCTCGGCAGGGCGAGCGCAGCGAGTCAGAACCAAAGTCCTTTGAGACAGCTCGATAACGGGGCAGGCGGAAGAGAAGAGGACGACGACGTCGAAATGCTAATTCCAGTCTCTGATGTAGCATCAGACTTTGACATGAACGACTGTTCGAGACCTCTGCTTGATCTCGGCTCAGATCAAGGAGCCCTCGGCTTGATCTCGGCTCAGATCAAGGACCGGGGCCCAGGCAGCCCCACGGCGCGGCGCCGCGCGGCCGCGACGGCCCCTGCGAGCGCTGCGGCATCGTGCACACCGCCCGCGTCCCCGACACCTGCCTGGAGGCGGCCGCCAAGAGCGAGACGAGCGACGACGAGGCCTTGCTACTCTGCTAGGTACGGAGCGCCCAGGGAGGGTCGGGTACAAGTTGGAGCGATGTCTGTCATTGTTTTGTACTTCACAGTGAAAACTCGGTTTTAGTTTCACAAAAAATCCAGGACGACGTTATGTTAAAGCTGTTCTAGCCCCTGTGGTTGGTTAAACATTTCTTATACTGGATGACCTGATGGAACTGCTAGAGGGAATGTTTTCATGGCTCTGAATACACAGGGTGTGTATCCAGTATAATCCCATTATTCTTTAAACTGAAGTTTAGCCCCGTTAGTTTCAAATTTAGTTTATCCTGGTACTGTAGTTCAAAACAGAAACATGGCTGCTTAAGACTTATTTGGCTGCCTGTTTAACCCCATAGTAACAGGTGAATTTGTACAGAATTATTTTCCTTTAGGAATTTACTCTGTTGTATTATTGCCAACATACTTGTAACTTAATATACTAAATGCTGGTATGGATTGTTAATGTAAGATATGTATTTTTCTTTGAGTTTATACAACATTTTGTCTAAATATTCTTGAATTTCATCATAATGTGAACTTATTTAAAGGGAGGAGAAATTTTCTCCGGGATCATTCTTTTTCTTTCAGAAGTACAAGATGCAATGACGTGTGAAATTTGGGTATGATTAGATAAACTGATGACAAAAGCTTTTATAGCACTGACTTTAATAAACTGCAGTCTAATATGGTACAGCCAAATAGTATGTAAAGTCCCCGGTCATTAATCTTTTCAATTTGAAGTAAAAAAGGGCCGAAGATATTGTAACATGTGTTAGTTCTGTAAATATCCGATATGTACAAATACACTACAGAATAAGTTCCAACTGGTAAAAGATCTTTCACTAATACTTTTTAAAGCTTGTTTGGACTCAAGGGATTTGCACTAAAATCATATTAAGGTCTCTAATGAGCTTAGTGCACAAGCACTATCACTTTAAGTACTATTATTGTCTAATATTGCAATGCTATATATTTCCATGGCTCTTTACTTGGGGTGTTGCATTTTTGTTGCAATTGAATTTGCTTTACTAATTCCCTATTTATTCGTTGTATTTAAGACTGGTTTACTTGGTTGCAGACTGGTTGTTTAAAAAAAAAATCCCTTTCAGTTTTTTCTTTTTTTCTTTTTTTTTCTTTCTTTGTAATATTACATGCTGGAGCAAAACAGATCAGTGGAAAGAAGCTCATAACTTCCAATTTTGTGATAAGCAGGTTACTATGTGGCTACTAGTGTGTCAGCAAGAATACACACCTTTTAAAAACAAAAATGTCAACTACTGTTTTATTTATTCTTTGCCAGTCTGTTTTTAGTAGGCTTAAAGATCCAGTATGAAACGTATTTGTGTGTGATTGTATGCTATTTATTAAATTTTAAATACTTTGTTGAATGTCATTTTAAAGCATGTTTAAAGTCTTGTGCATTTCTGTCGTGTTATGCTGTCGGGCAGAACTGACTAAAATGTTTTAATATGTATCAAAATTAAATTGAATTTTGTTATGTTTTTGAGGTACTTTTAAAGATAAATCTGAGGTCTGTCTGGCTTTTTATTTTTATTTGTTTTAATCCTCATCTCTGAAGTACAAATCATATGCAGAAGAAGCCAATAAGAGAATAGATTCCAAATTGTATATATCATTTCCCTTCTTTTCATTCACAGACACTGGGATGAAAAAAAATAAAATAATTTTACCACCTGGTTGATCTTATTGACAAGATTTAGTAGGTAAATTCTGAGGTCAGGCCACGGTTATTTTGATTTGTGCTTTTGAGGAACTTACGTGCAATACAATTGTTAAGGATTTTATTATCAACGGCCCATGCAGTTTCAACGTTAAGGACAGATCGCGTCACGCTGGTACCAGATCAAGTACAGTTTGGCCCATAACAACATACCAGAGTAAAAGTCATTAATGGCCATTTTTATTCACATTGAATAATACCCAATTCTGTGGGTAATCTTTAATCTGATTTCAGTGGCGTTGTTTATAGAGCAGGTGAATCTGCGATATGAACATGGTGACACACCCTGAAATATATTGGAATGTGTCTTGATATAAAATACTGGGTTTTTAAACCTTCTGTTGTTATTAGAAAGCAGTTAGGATATTTTTTTTTTGTCACTGAAGCAGATGCATTTTGAAGAAAGCGCCTTCACAGAATGTCTTGGGTTATATGCACACATGCCAATGGTTTAAACTTGTTCCATTAGATGCCCTAAATAGCATGTACCTGTGGACTCCATATTGCAGATGTAAAAAGGAACACAATGTTAATTTGTTTTAAAAGAGAATTGTTACACATGAAACTGGGAAGTTGGATTTGATTGAGAATTTGGAAAAATGTAAATAAAATTCATATTTGTATGAGGCTAACTTGTTGCAGTGGTTCTTTTTTCATTGTGATTTTTAAAGGGAACAGTCACTTTCCTTTTGATTTACTGATTTACTAGAGACCTCCGTTAAGTCACGTTGCTTCATTTTATTTTTTTATCCTGAAGCTGCTTGAAACAGTATTTTATTGAAGTGATTCTTGCTTTAGCACTGTAGAAGTGCTAGGGAATTTTATAGAAAAGTTTGAATGATGTGCTGTGGAATATCTGTTTTTCTGTAATAAACCATTTTCAGGTGAAAGCTTTGAACAATGTAGGTTTTCTCCTCCCTTAAAGGTTTCCAAGCATAGAAAGAGTTTGCTTTGCCATTTGATTTGCACTGAAATATTAAAGAGCCTGGCTGAACTTCAGGTACTACAAGACCTTGCCTTGCTTCCAAAGAAGGATCTGTCTGCAGTACGAGTTTAACAAGCATTTCTGATATATTCTTTCAAAACAGATTAAAGAAAAGATCACTGAAATTACATATGTTGCTTTCTGCTTTTTATTATCCAGACGCCAAAGCAAAAGCTCCTGGCAAACTTTGAGTACACTGATAAATCACAGTTCAAATTTGGGACACTAATGCTTTCAATAAGTCTTTACTCACCGGAAAAAAAAAAAAATTTTTCGTTGCAGATAAATATGACAGATTTTCCTGTTCAGACCATTTTTTTTTGCTTCTTTTGTGGGAAGAGCCAGTGTCTCTTTTCTGTCCATTTCTCCTGTTAGGTGCTGCACATCTTCTGCACATCTTGTGTGAACCTCTACTCTTCCTGTAGCTCTGGGTGTTTTTTTGGTTTAAGTTTCCATTCACATCCAACACCACGCTATGACCTACCTGATAACCAGGGACTTGGCAAACAGGATTAGTATTTGCTAAAGGGTGGTATATTCCAACAAATGAGGTATGCAAGGCTTCCTCCACAACCTGGAGGAAGTGCAAGGAAGCTCTGCACAGTTTGGTTTAGGGACACAGAATCACACCTTGGGAAGAGAACTGGGGGAAGAATAATCTTCCTAGTTACAGATTTTGTGAATCTCTTGGCCCAGATTAATAAGTTTGTGATACACTGTAATGCAGGCTATCCACAGTCGTATTTGCTAAGAAGAAAGATTTGGATGTATCTTGTTTCCTTACGTTACCTGTGTTCCAGCTCTGGCAGCTGTGATGTAGGGTAGTGATTTGGTTGCTAAATCAACCAACCCCTTATTAATTGACTGAAATGCCCTTGAGATCAAATTCTGAACGATGCTCACGAGGATAAGAACTAAAGGGTTGTCTCGTGTTCCTCGCACGACCTGTGGCTCTTCTGTTTCACCCTTCTGAGATGTCTGGAGGTCTCGGTACAACTGAGTGTGAATAATGCACAGCCTGGCCACGAGCTCCCAATGTGTTTCCAGAGGTGGGTAAGGCAGCAAAAAAACAGATTATTTTTCTATGTGAAATGTAGCAGCAGAATTTAACTCTCAGTGTTCTTTCTTTCTTGTGAACAAGCTGCGTCATATTATAAGATTGCCAAAGAGAGACAGATAGAGTTGACAGATGGAGATGAGAGTTCAGTTTGGATAAGAAAAATCTGAAGTTTCTTCAACTACTTTATTTTCCCTCTGCTATTCCTTAACTTTTATTGCTATTCCTCAACTATTCCGTAAATATTTACTTCCTATTCCTTAACGAAGTTGCAGGTAGGAAGGCCCAGGTACCTGAGAGCAGGTTCTGCAAAGACCAGACTGGCCACGAGGAAATCTCAGGAGGGGAAGTGCATCCCCAGCCCTATGCCGTACAGAAACACGTCATTAGGATTTTGAGCTACGCTGCTCTTCATGCATTCAAGTGTCTTAAGCCATGTTAGCCCTTTCTTGTGCAACACATGAAAAGTGAAAAGTGATATGAATCCCTTCATATCATAATTTGCTGTGATATGGGGGCCTGGGTTCTTACCTCCTCTCCCCAGTTTGGGAGAAAGATTTGAGTCAAAACTGTTTGATCAGAAAAAAAATATATATATATAAATGCCTTTACCATGAGTCAAAACTGTTTGATCAGAAAAAAATATATATATAAATGCCTTTACCACTACCACCAGCCCAAGAGCATATTTGGAGCTTGGCTGTTGCATCCCACATGACTTTCCTGACAAGCGAGGAACAGAATCAATCTCCTTTGCCACCTCCTCTCCTCACTTGTCAAATACTGCTTTATTTATACAAAATTGAACTTATCTGAGGCACATGCATCTCATTTGCCTGCAGCCCAGTTATTCAAGTACCAATCTGCATGGTGGGAGCAGTGGGTTCACTCTCTCAGTGGCAGCAGGGATCTGAAGTGTATCCCCATCATTACGCCATCTCAAGACCTCTTTTCTGTCCTCATTCTTATTTAGAGAACACAGTTTGACCTCACTCATCAATATCATTGTAATTATTCATCCAGCAGTCCTGTCTGAATTCTCATCACAGCTCCCTGACAGTCTCTTTACAAGTCTTACGTGCAGATTACACGGTAGATGCAAGTTACTCCTGCCTGCCTGCCTGTTGAGCACAGCACAGCTTGGTCCTCATGACATTTTGCTTTCCACTGCTCTCTACTCTGCTTTTCCAAAAGATTTTCAACCTTTTTCTGTTGCCATGTGGCAAGATGAAGCCAAATGGGCCTCCATGTCAAAGCGCAACGATGTTTGGGAACCAAAAGCTACACAGGCAGGTGCCTGGT